GGGGGGCGGCCGGCCCCCCGGCCCGCCGCCTCAGCTTCTACAAGTCGGTACCGGGCAGCGGGGGCAGCGGGGCGGGGCCTCTGCGCTTAGCTCCGCCCACGGGGGGGGAGGGGTCGGGGCCTGAGCTTAGGCCTGAGCCTGGTTCTGGGCCTGAGCTTGACCCTGGGCCTGAGCTGGAGCTGGAGCCGGGGCCTGGGCCTGGTTCTGGGGTGGGACCTGGGCCTGAGCCTGGGCCTTGTTCTGGGCCTGGGCCTTGTTCTGGGCCTGGGCTTGAGCCTGGGCCTGAGTTTGAGCCTGGGCCTGGTTCTAGGGTGGGACCTGGGCCTGAGCCTGGGCCTTGTTCTGGGCCTGGGCCTTGTTCTGGGCCTGGGCTTGAGCCTGGGCCTGAGTTTGAGCCTGGGCCTGGTTCTAGGGTGGGACCTGAGCCTGGACTTGGGCCTGGTTCTTGGTTCTAGGGTGGGACCTGGGCCTGAGCCTGAGCTGGAGCCAGGGCTTGAGCTTGACTGGGGCCAGGGCCTGAGCCTGGGCCCGGGCCTGAGGCTGAACCTGAGCCTGAGTGGTGCCTGAGCTTGAGCCTGGGCCTGAGCCTGAGCTTGAGTGGGGCCTAGGCCTGGGCCTGAGTCTGAGCTGGGGTCTGAGCTTGAGCCTGAGTCTGAGTGGGGCCTGGGCTTGGGCCTGGTTCTGGGGTGGGACCGGGGCCTGAGCCTGGGCCTGAACCTGCGTGGGGCCTGAGCTTGAGCCTGGGCCTGAGCTTGAGCCTGGGCCTGAGCTTGAGCCTGGGCCTGAGCTTGAGCCTGGGCCTGAGCTTGAGCCTAGGCCTGAGCTTGAGCCTAGGCCTGAGCTTGAGCCTAGGCCTGGTTCAGGAGTGGGGCCTGAGCCTGAACCTGATTCAAGCCTGAGCTTGAGCCTGGGCCTGAGCTGGAACCTGGACCTGAGTGGGGCTGGGGCCTGGGCCTGAGCTTGAGCCTGGGCCTGAGCTTGAGCCTAGGCCTGAGCTTGAGCCTAGGCCTGGTTCAGGAGTGGGGCCTGAGCCTGAACCTGATTCAAGCCTGAGCTTGAGCGTAGGCCTGAGTGGGGCCTGGTCCTGGGCCTGAACCTGAACCTGAGTGGGGCTGGGGCCTGGGCCGGGTTCTGGGGTGGGGTCTGGTTCTGGGGTGGGGCCTAAGCCTGAGCTTGGGCCTGGGCCTGGTTCCGGAGCGGGGCCTGGGGCAGGACTAAGTGAGCTCTTTGAGGCGGGGGTGGGGGAAGCACCCA